GGGCCGCGCGCCCACGGCCGTTACGCGGTGTCTCCGCTCTCCTGAGGGAGGGCCGGCGCGGGCCTGGCGGTCTCTACGTGGTCTCTGGTTTCGCTGTCGATGATGTAGTGTAACTTAATGGGTGTTTTCTGGAGTAAAACAACAGCGGCCGTAATCTTTCCCCCTGCACTTAACGTGCTTCAGTGGCGCAGGGTTAAGACTGGCTTCCCGGGCACTTAAAATATTAAATGCGCAACAGTCTGATTTAAAAGCAGCTCCGCACGACCCTCTGCACCCACCTTTACAGCTCAATAAGCGAGTCGGCATAAAATATGACCGATAAAAGACACCAATACTACACACTGTACACTCCACCTATACGAAATTAAAACGTAGTAATGATTTTATAGAGAACCTTGAGAACAAATAAAAGACGGGAGCTATTGTTTTAAGCCCAATAGTCCTACGCAGAGTTAGGACACCCACCGGACGCTCAGAGCAGAAGGAGACGAACCAAGCAAAAACCCAGACCTTCAACCTTCTTCTTGCAGCTCTTACCAATAAGGACCGATAACTTCATCACCTTGCTAGTGAAACCTGCAGGATGATAAAATAAAGCAAAAAGCTATTATTATTTCAAGAGAACCCATTTTGTTTGTGTCGTTAGACCGGTCTATCTATAGTGCTAGCACTTCCTCGTTTAGCCAGATCAATTCCTAATTACAGCTACCAAGCACCACTGAGACGCTTTTCTTAACTCCAGGAATAGCTTCTTATTTTAATCATTTATTTTACCTTTTCTTTCTTGAAAACTCCTACATGAATGTCCAGCCCATTGAAACCAATGGTAAATAGACCATTAACCTCTTTGAGGTCCTGTTTTCGAATCTTAAGTCTACACATATATACTTTAGTGAGTTGCCCTGGTGCCAAGGGGCCACTGGGTTACTGTCTGGCATTTCCACATATTTTTACAATCCCAAAAAGTAAACAGTAGTTCGATTTAGGTGTAGAAAGATGAATTAGACTTGGCTTATATTGCTAAACATTCATCCAAAACACAGTCTTAAAACTTGAGAAGAAGTTACCAGTATGCATGCCTTGTCACTAAGACCTAAAAGTACCCAAAACATTCTCACTGGCTTTTTTTGAATAACATTACATTTTCATCTAATGGGACAGAAACACAGTTGGTTATAATTAGATAGTCTGATTTTTTGAAAGATAAAACAGTGTTTTAGAATTGCATCTCAGTGCCTCTACAATCCATGGTTAGTACCCTAGATCTGGTATTTAGGGATTCATTCATTAGAACAGCTGACAGTTCCTCGGACAAATTTAGGTAGACAGTAAAACTGCTTTGAGGTACCTATAGATTTTCATTCCATGCAGATGTAGGAGAGTGTTGATATTTAAAAATGGGATTATTAAAAATATTGGTTGTCTTGCACCTTCTGTTTCAGTATAGCAAATCCTCGCCCATCAAACCCTACCCTTAAGGTTTGTCCCAGTTCTGTCCCCAAATCCTCCTCCCTTCCCACCTAGCCCAGTAGCTACCATGAACACTTCTGCAACTGGCATAAAGACTTCTGGAACAGACTGTACCAGGCTGCATGTGGTGGAACGGGGAACAGGGATGACAGACTGAGATGGAACAAAGACAGGTATGAGAATGGTTGGAAGATATGACAAGAGATGGCATTATCAGAAGAGAGGTGGTTCTGAAGTCAAAGGTGAACAAAACATGGCTGATAATCTGAGTTTCAATTGAATATCACCATGGTGGCACGCTGGGGCACGGGACTTAGATACAAAACAGCAGGTCCAGAGCAGCAGCTCACAATGAAATCTTTCTAAACTTGCTCAGGTAGTACCAAGTGAAGATTTGTCTGCAAACTGCATTTAGGGAAAACGTGAGAAAAGAGACTGTTGGTAATTGAAGTAAATTGCATGCGACATCGGTTAACTAGACTGTGGCAATAAAACTTAGTCCATTAAAAACAAACAATTCTCTTGGGATGCCCTGGTAAGTTTTTCCTTGTTTGAGTTTAATCTTCTAAATCTATGGCTAAGTCCTAATTTTAGAATTTACAGCCTGCCTAGTGTTATGCAGTTCAATATTTTTTTCTTTGCATTGTGTCAACTTATCCTTTAAAGTCTGGAGAGACGGAAATAAGTTTGAGTTTGATACGTATGACGAACTGTTAGCTCCAAAGAAGTAAAAGAATTACTGTCATCTTGCAGTGTCACTGTGTATTCAAATGTCTATCTTAAATAAAGATTCAAAATGGAGAGTGGGCATTGCAAACCTGCTCTCTAGCAGCAAGTCTGTACCCAGGAGGGTCAGATACAAAACGAGAATAAGCCATAAGTGTATTCATTTAAACTTGGGACATTTTCTTAGAGAACAAAAATAAAATTGGCACTTACTATTTCTACAATGTCAGGATACACTACTACTTGAACAAAGCCTATCAATTTAGTTCAGAGACTGTTGATTAGCTGGTGGCTTATGATTTACTCCACAGTCAAACACTTGATTTGAATTTATAACTAAGGGATCAAAATTCTATATCCTGTGAACTGAAAGTTACATTAGATCCTGGGAAATGGTGTAACCCAAAATAGGGCAGAGTTTTTCCTCTGGGTCTCTGAAAATGCCATTCTTAATATTTAATTTACCTAAGATCAGTGCTAATGCCCTGCCTGAAGCTAAGATGGAGCAGTATCTTTCTGCCACACGTAGTGAAGGTACATCTGGAACAAACTAGAAGTGATAAAGACTTCTTTCTATCTACAGATAATGAAATCATTTCAAGTTTACCACTGCAGATGTCCCTCTATTTCAACGTTTATTTTTTCCCACTGTGGTGGCTCAGCACTGTTGTCATGCTCCAGCTGAAGGTGAGTCCAGAAGGAAAGTAACGGTTGACAGATTTAATACGTTTCTGATTGGACACCTCCTAGTACAGAGGTGGAGCTCATTGGAGTTAGAGCTTAGTAGGCTCGTGCGGGAATTGCTTGAAATTGGAGGTTCTGAGAGCATTTGAAAGCCAATACAACACTGTCAACTTACAGTGGCATTCAGTGTCTTCATTTAACCAAAGACAGCGCATTGTGAAACGGCATGGTAGAAACTTTTACTCTCTTCCTCCCTCTAGTATCCAGTCTTGTCAGATTACTACAAGTTCATTGTGGTCACAGTCATCATCCTAGCCTCTCTGATAGAGGTCATCCGGCTCTACCTAGGATACATGGGCAATCTCCAGGAGAAGGTATGTTACCTTACATCCATATTAATTTGTACAGGAGAACTTGGGGTTGAATATAAATAAAACGGTCTGTCAGTTCCTCTAAGAGATTTAAGGTGAGGAGATGGTTATTTCTGTCAGTTACAGTCTGCATCTTTCATCTCCCTGGCTTTTGCTTCCCTTAACTTTTGTGCATTCCAGAAAGTTTTCCCTCAGAAAGGAGACCTCCTGCCTACCAAAACTGTTTTGTCAGGAAAATAAGTATTGTTAAAAACACTGTATATGGAAACGTTAAACTACCTCACTTCACCATTTCACATTGTGTGCTGGCTTTTGAAAGATAAAAGTGTGGATTTTATCCACAAAGTTTTGTATTATTTTCTACTGCTTCTGCCAGTTTTTAGGTAACTAACTGATGTTTTCCTGTTGTAGGTCCCTGAGCTGGCTGGGTTTTGGCTCCTGAGTCTTCTCCTGCAGTTGCCTATAATTCTCTTCTTGCTGTTCAATGAAGGTCTGAAAATCCAGCCACTGGAACGAGCAGTCAATATCATCTTTGCTCTCTTCCTCACCTTCCAAGTCATTGCAGCTTTTCTCACCCTGAAAAAAATGGTAAACCAACTGGCTACTCACTTCCGCCTCAATGAGTTTGACCGGCTGGAGGAACACCCTGTACCTGATTTTTACAGCCTAGGAAAAGAAGAGAGTGCATTCCCCATGGCTGCTAGGGGCCCGTATTGAGGAGGTTCTCCCAATAAGTGTCGACTGGGGACCTGCAGTGAGGGCCTGAGAAGTTACCTGAGGAATGCCTCATGCTGCTGCAGCTCCATTTCCATTTTTTGAGTCGTTCTTGACCTTTCTATTTCAGAGACATTAAAAAAAAGAAACAGATTTTGCTTAACAGCCAACATAGCCAACCACAAAGATCTGAGCTCCACTCTGCAAGAAAAATGGAAGCCTATTATATAACTAGTCAAGTTGACTGATTTATTTGCAGACTGTTACTGGGTAGAGCACTTACGGAATAGATTTGGTAGTTTTTACATTTTACAAAGCCATGTGCTGTGTTTAAAAAAAATCCAGAACTATTTGCACAGTTTTTTATTTTTAAACAATAAATATTTTTATACACTTTTTTCCTGCTGCTATCAATTTCTCTCTGTCCTTCCAGATATGTTATACATATTTGATCTCTGGTGCCAATCTTAGTGAAAGAAAAAAAAAACCCAACCAACCACCACAGCCAAGAAATCTTGAGGCCCAGCAAGAACGGTAGAGATGCCAATGACGACAGGAAACAACAGAGTTTTAGAGGTGGTCTTTCATATACCTTCAGCTCTGGGAATTCTTTACTAATAAACTAGGAATGGAGTTTTAAAGGTATTCTTGCCCATAACCCACACTCCTGTTCTTTGGCTTAGCTGGAGTTTTAGCTATCAAGTCATTCAAAATGGATGGTGCAGTTTTCTCAAGTGGGGAAGCTTATAGAAGTTCTAATGAAAAGGAAGGAGTGTTACCTTTGCTCTTTGCCAGAACTTTTTTTTTTTAATCCATGAGTGAATGATACAACTCATTCTACTAAATTTCCTTTCTTTTTTTCATTTTGTTGTTGTAACCATATCTTACCAGAGCACATACTCTCTTTTATTTTTAAACAAACTGCTTCCTCTGCCAACAACAGGACTGACTATTGTGCAGAAAAGAGAGAGATTTCTGAGAGAGGGTCTCTAAGAATCTCTTAGCAGTTAATTTAAAACATTTGGAGCCCCTCACTCAATGTCTGCAAGAAACACAGTGAGGTTTAAGCAGAAGTTACGTAATTCGACAAGCACATTTATAGCATTAGGTACTCCTTTTAAAAACATCTTTAACTGATGCAATACGAAAACATTGCACATATTGTCATGTCAACCACAGTTATGCTACAGCAGAGTGCCAAGGCCAGGGCTGATCAACTTCGTGAGAGGTCTGCAGGATCCATTAGAATAACAGATAACAGCGTAATGGGTCCCGACAGGCCGAACAGAAGCATCGAGCACCTTGGAGCCTATTTTCTCCAGTGATCGTTAAATGTGACTCAGAAAACTTAATGCCTCTCTAGCTGTACAGCCTCTTCCTGGTCAAATGTGATGGGACTAACACTGGAGGCTGTCCTTCCTGGCAGAGGATGTAGGATCGACCTCAAGGAACTCACCTCCACCACTAAGAAACTATTCCCATGTGCCCTGGAAATAGAGGCTAATGATGGAGCATGAAAGTTGGAACTGCTAGTTTTCAGTGCCTTCCCATAGTTTGTCCAAAAGAAGAAACAGATTCAGAGAAAGCAGTATCTTTATGTTCCCCTGCTCCACAAGTCTGCCCATGAGTTCATGGACAGGACAAGCATTGCGACAGCTTTGAGGGGGTACTAGGGCAGTTGCCGTCCCTTTGGCTCTGCATGTGGCTTGCCCGTTCCCTTTACGAAAAGCCCGCTGGCAGGTTTTACCGAGGAGGTACACTAAGATGGTACAGAAAGCCTGAGCTCTGAGAGACAGAACGATGTACCTCTACTAATCGAGGCGCTTGCCTTAAGTATAGAATGTAATTCCCTTGGTTTTCTTTCCTGTTTCACCTTAAAAAAATTAAGACATGAAACCCTTCCGTAAGATTAAGTATGGGGGGGTGGGGGGTGGTTCTTTAACGCCCAATACCTCAAATTCAACATTCCAGCCAGGCAAAAATCACAAAGCTGAAAAAAGTCAGCCATACACCAACACTGACAACAAGGAGCTGGCCTCCAGGCTTAAGGCCAGGAAACACAGCTCACTTTTTTCAAAAATCAAATTTTAGCTTTTAATGATAAGGAAATCATGGGCTCAGACAATCAAATTACCATGCAGGAAAATTGCCATGAGCCAAAGATATAGGGCACACCTCACTGTGGGACAGAGAGAGAAGGTCGATGAGGTGATAGAGAAAATAGGATTCAGAGAAACACTGTTAGAGAGTTGCCTGGAAATGGTGAAGATGGAAACCAGTCTGGGATGTAAAGCGTCAGCAACGTATTCGATAAACCCAAGATCCATTGCCTCTTCTCAGGCTTCCTAACAGACCTGGTAGCTTTTATGAATTTCATCATCACTACCCTAAACAATTATGAAGAAAGGAGTCACATTCAGCGTCTACAACTGCAAAGAAAATTACAGTAGCACTCGGGAAGACAAACCCACAACCAATGGGGATTTCCACTGAAACTTTCCTTCAGCTACCAAATTTCACAAGAACTGATGCAAATTCAGACAAGCGTAAAACATACTACTCACTTGTAACAGCCAAATTTCAGACGTACAAAAGGAACTTCAGAACAGAAACTTTGGATAAGCATATTTAAAAAAAGAGAATTGAGGGGACTCCATGAGGAGGGGGAAAACTGAAGAAGGTGCTTGTACAAAAAGTTGTAACCAGAAGATAAATGGAGGAAGCTTTTAGCATCAAGAGTAAAGAAATAATGACGACAATGTTATAAAGAGAAAAAAAAAGAAAGAAAGTTTTATTCTTTTTGAATGAAGTTAAGGAGTAATTGTCAGAACAGGCTGGAAGCAATAAAAGATACCGGAGAACTTCAAAGGGGTGTAGGCAGAGCTAGGAGTCCTCTCTAAATCCTCTTCTTCCTATTGCTGATCACGGGAATAACATACTTGTCTCGCATTGCAAAGCATCCACGAGTAGAATATTATTATTTAGGATTCAACAAAGCAGGTGCTTGGGGATGGATGGGTTTTGGTGTTTTTTCTCCCCTTTGCATAATACGTACAAACTAAGGTGAAGAGAGGGAAACTGGGCACACGGAAAATTGCAGTGGAAGTTTTTTGACTGAAATCAAGTAACATCTAAACAGTTTTGAACACAAGCTGTCCAGTGGGGGCTTTTTGCCACATTAGGATTTGTGCAGAGAACCACAGAACACATTTTGCAAAAATCTAGGTAGCTATCGACAGCTCTTCCTTCACAAGCAAGGTCTCTGCATGGCAAAAGCCTAGACAGTATCATTAAGAGAAGGGGGGGGAAGCTATGGACAGAAAAATCTCCCTCTCCCCAGGTGTTTGACTTCATCAGGTTTATTGCTAGGAAAGGCCAACAGCTGATGTGAAAGGGAATGTGTATCAACACACATTTCCTTTAATTGGAGAAAAGAAATCAGGAGTGGGCATATGACCTTCAAATGTTACTTTTCAGATTAACAATCCGTTTGAAGGCATTTGTGCCTCCAAGGGCACAGTTGTCCAGTGGTTGATACCTGAGCTCAGCGCCTGTTCCTTGCCAAAAATAAACTTTATTGAAGGACTCTGTTAAACAGTTGCAGCGCTTCCCGGAAGGGAGAAATTAAATTTGGAAGAGGCTTCAATTATGTACCTGACTTGGGCAGATCTGATAAAGGAGGCGTGAGATAAGGGACACATCTGATAAAAACCGGCTGCCGACAAAGGACGGGGGGGGGGGCAGCATTAACCTTTCTCTCCCAACAATTCACTCTTTCACGTAGCTGAAGGAATCATACCCAGAGGCATGGGATCATGCGTTTTACTCTTGCCCTTGTCTCTTCGAAACTAGACTAGATGTAGCATTAATCTTTAAATAGTTAATGAAGCAGGTAGCGTTGGCACCATTACACAAGGCTGATAAGATGGTTCAATAGCAATATTTGATGACTGGGTAAGGCTCCAGAGATCATTTATTTTGAAAAACAAATTTTGCTTCTCCGGGACAAAGATCAGATGGCAGCAATTAAAAAGGACTTTGTTCAGTGCCTCCAATAAAGCAGAGGTAATGAAGAGGTCTTCTGTGGGAGGCAAGCAAAGCGGTATAGCAGGGTCAGCAGGTAAGCCCAAGAAAAATTTAAGCTATAAATAGGTTCAAGAAGTATAACACCAAGGGAAAATGAGTGTGTTGACAGATGCCACTGAAGGAGCTCCCGGATACATGAAGCAGAGGAGTTATTAAAAGGAAATAAGGGCGCTAAGTTACTGGATGGAAATCTTGCAGGGATTCAAAGGAAATGTCTTATCCCACCAAGAAAGCAGCAGCCTTCAGGAAACAGCTCCCCATTCATTAAATATATGTAACTTTTGCAGCAAAGAACACCTTCTACTTCAGACGATCCAGAGCTGGAAAGCAATAGCAAATCGTACTTGGGAAGCACGGGCTTGCCCGAGACACACGAGCACAACAGGGAAGCTGCAGAGGAAAACACAGAGCCGATCCGGCAGGCAGCAGCAGCTCTGAGCATGCAAAGACCCACGGCTTCCCCAGCGAGTTTAGGAAGTGTTAGCGACTTCCTCGAGGGCCGCCTCGAACTTCCCGTGCTAGGGGAGGAGTTCCCGCAGCCTGTGAAAGAGGCTATTGTTGCTCTTGAAGGGATCACAAAGCCCCTTCTTTAGTCACTTTTGCTAGACCCGTGCCATTTCTGAGTCGGAGAGTCAAGCAAAACAGCTGGGACCGCATTTCGTTAGCAGCTTTTCAGTTTGTTCACACCCTGCACTAAGGATATACCGCGAATATTTCCAGTCGCTTGTACAGCTGACTAGTCTTAGAAAGACGTCTTCACTTTGAAATTCAAAGCCTGGAAAACCCAAAGGCCACTGCTTCTTCAAAAAGAGCCTACGTGGTTGGCAGAACATGCATAGAAACACAGTTTAAAAAAAAAAAAATACATGCATTTGGCCAAGGATCTTCCAATAGCTGCTCAAAATACTTGAGCAGAATATGAAGAATTAACCCAAGACAAAGCTACGATTTGGGGACAGAATACCTGATTTCTCATCATTGCTTAGTTCAGACTTCAACCAAAAGCCCGAGCCAGAACTGCTTAAAAAGACTGACAGCACTTTGAATTGCAAATTCATGACTGATCAAAGAAGCCTATACATCTGTTTAGGAATCAAATCCAACTTTTGTGGGTTGCTGTTCAGGTAGCAGCACCCTCAAACGGGGGTAAAACTGGTGATGATCCAGGGCACAGAAAACGCAACGGCCGGTGCCAGCCGCCGTAGGCAATGCCTGTTGTGCGGGGGCAGTCTTCTCAACCCCCGT